TATTATTATAACAAATATTTTTTTCCATCTAAAACGTATTGAAAATACACGTTGCACCGCTTCTGCTACACCCTTTGAATATCAAGATTAACGTAATTTAAGCTTGTCTTTACTTAAGTTTATCTTAATTTAAATTAACTTAAGTTTATCTTAGATAAACCGTACTTAAGTTTATGTTACCTTAATGTAAGTTTATCTTTAACTAACATTAGTGTATCTTAGATTAACTTAGCTTAAGTTTATCTTCGATTAACTTAGCTTAAGTTTATCTTCGATTAACTTAGCTTAAGTTTATCTTCGATTAACTTAGCTTAAGTTTATCTTCGATTAACTTAGCTTAAGTTTATCTTAGATTAACTTAGCTTAAGTTTATCTTCGATTAACTTAGCTTAAGTTTATCTTCGATTAACTTATCTTAAGGTCATCTAAGATTAAATTATCTTAAATTTTTCTTAGATTACCTCTACTTAAGCTCATGTTAACTTTATGTAAATTTATCTTTAACTAACATTAGTGTATCTTAAATTAACTTAACTTAAATATATCTTAGATTAACTTAAGTTTATCTTAGATTAACTTATCTTAAATTTATCTTAGATTAACTTATCTTGAGTTTACCTTAGATTACCTTAACTTAAGTTTAACTTAGATTAACTTATATCTTAAGTTTATCTTAGATTACCTTAACTTAAGTTTAAATTAGATTAACTTATCTTAAGTTTATCCTAGATTAATTCTTCTTAAGCTTATCTTAGATTAACTATACTTAAGTTCATCTTAACTTTACTGAAGTTTATCTTTAACTAACTTTATCCATTTATCTATTTATTTAGTGTATCTTAGATTAACTCTGGTTTATCTTAGATTACTGATGTTTATATGGAAGCAACTTAAGTTTGTTTTATACCAACCAACTAATTTTTAGCCTAGTTCATTTTAGATTAATCTTAGTCTATATTCGATTTAAGTTATTCTTAGACCAGTTTTTATTTATCTTAAATCAACTATGGTTATCTTCATAATATTGAGAATTTATATTCAAATGAACGTCATTATAAAAACAAACTATTCGAAACTCCTCACATATAAGTACTCGATCATGCCAATAACTTAAACTACCTTTCCGCAAATGGTTGTAGAGCTCTTGTGTAAGAATACGAGTATTCCGACAAAGAAACTAGAAAAATATTTATAATTTTTATTTAACTTCTATGAAAAATATGCACAATGGGACAACTTCACAACGCCAGTCGGGTCTAATTGCAGCTGTCTTCACATACATGTCGCTTGGATGAATTGAAATATGTACACAGTTATAGATAAAGATATATTTGCGCAAATATTATATTAATTAAAGGCAATTAAATTGATTAAAAGTTGCAAGCAGGTGAATTGTTACATTTTTTTCAATTGGAAAATATCAATTAAAATGACAAATGCAAGGCGGCAGTACACAACCAAATAGAAATTCTTTTGATTATTCTGAATTTTACTTATATATATAGTAAAATAAAATAATTTTGAAAATATATATGTACAGATATGAGTACTTACTTAACTATCAACGATAAAGTTCCAAGTAACAAGTTCAGCCACTTATTGTGGTTAAGACCGTCACATTATGCTAGTCACTTTAGCTGCGCTGGATCTTCTATCAGAACTGAAGTTAACTGCTCGACGATAGGAGATCCCACTGTGCGAAGGGGACAGCGTACATATCGTGGCATTTTCTTAAGTTGAAAATGGTTTAAAAGCCAAAATGCCAAATCATGCCTAAAGATCAATCATTTTACTTATTTGAGTTAAAAATTTCAACACATACTCATACCCAAGCCGCTGTTTGTGTCCAACTTGCATCCGCAAGTAACCACATGACTTAATATAATCTGAGCTTGATTAGTTGTCTGCAACCATTTGTGGATTGCGATGCATTAACCGCAAATGTGCATTAAAGGTTTTTCCCTACTTTACCAAAAGCAATTGAGCGAGTTCAACTTCTTTTATTCTTTTTTTTTTTGGTTAGTTAACTTTATTGTAGTCGTCGCGTATCTATAAATTATTTTTGACCTAAATTGGTAATTCGTACATTTCCTTAGGGAATTTGCAGCGGTTTTCTTTCATTTGTCATATTTGATTGGTAAATTGTATCTTTAATTGATCAACCTCGTCACTGCAGCACTGTTTTTATACTCATACAAGCTTATAGCAATGACTTCAAGGTATATTGCAAAAGCATGGAGGCAAGCCAAAACCCAAAAAAGTATTAGAAAAATATTTTAATATAATATTATTTACTATTTCCGTAAAAAGTTATGTTTTAAGCTCAATACTTCTTTCAAATTTCAAAGCCGAGAATACTTACAGAATATTGCAAAATCCCGAGCCAAACATGGTGCAGCGAGTACACTTTGCTAACTACACCAATGACATGATCCGTCGTTGACTCAAAGACAATAGTGCAACTGTTAAGACTTTTCACTCTTTATCCAACAAAATCGCCGTACTGATGGGGTACTTTGTCGTTGATAGGCACACCGCCTATTAAGTGACCCACTTCAACGACTACTGCCATAGCTACGAGTTAGAAAAGAAGAATAATAGTGTTACCCGTCTGGTCTCTTATTGCCGGCATTCATCAGGTGGCCCACAATGTGGCATCACAATTGGCCCGATTCTCAGTCCTAAGTAAGCTAGTATTTTCTACAAGAAGAGCTAGTACGTATGGCTTACCTAACTGTAACAAGATATATGCTATCATCATTTATATAGGAAAGGTGTTCATTTATTCAAACTTAAGCGAGAAGTAAATCAAAAATTTAGATTGAAGGCAATCACATAAAACTCTCAATATCTCATTCCATCAACAATAGCAAGTCAGAATAATAATAATCGGACTAAACTGAAATCAGACTTAAGCGAAACAGGTCTTATCCGAGACTGATCCATTTCATATAAAAAAAATTGTATTCTGGGACTTAAAAACACACAAATTGAAAAAACGAATAGCGGGAGAAATTATTCATTCTTCACTAACTCAACTATATGGACAAGTCGGAGATTAGTCTAAGCTCATGCAAAGCGAGGATATGTGTGCCAACACCGGATCACTTTCATAATACTAGTAGCTAACCAGTAATAGTACGATGAAAGCTAGTCACAGACTAGTCTAACTTTTTACAGCATTGTCTCATCTTTTCCGCCAGGAAAAATATTTTTTCATAAATCTAAGTAAAACTTTTTTTTATTGAATTTTTAAAAATTTTAAAAAGCTTCTCCAGTCTACTTCCCAAACCACATCAACTTTAAGATCTCAAGTTCAACACTTATTGGAATTGGAATTTGACACTGAATGTTTAAATGGCTTGTAGTGTGGCTAATTGCACTTCCACAGTTGATCATCTTCACAACAAGATCAGTAAAATTAAGTACCGCTAATGTGAACATAAAGTAATCGAATATCTGAATGAACCAATATGGAAGCACCAGAGAAGACCGTTGCTTCCTTCGTGCGCTTGTCACACAAGTGCGGAGGTTCTTAACAAACACTAAATAATCTTAATGCATAAATCACCCGCTGCGTTTGCAGCTCAGATAGACTTGGCAATGCATAATGAACCTCACTGCAACTGCAACTTGAGAACCCGTATATAAGTGGTGCGGTGAGCTGTGCGGTGCTGCAAACGCCTGAGGATGGGCAAATGAGCTCATGTGGCGAAGTGCATTGGCGTAGTACCATGAGCCAGACGCAGAGTCAAATGCATTCGATAGCCGCGGGTAATCAAAGTTATGATGTGGACTTTCTTCATACTCGGTACACATTTAAGCTACTGTGAACAAACGCAAATGAGGATTTACTTACTTTTTCTTTAAATTTATCTCAGCTTTTGCTGTTTGCGTGTCAACAACTTTTTTAATGCAAATTTTGCTGCCAAGCGATTTTGCGCGTACGACGAAGTTGGTGGCAACGCATTTTAGCAGGCAAATTTGACTTCTTGTGTTGTTTGGCGTGCGCAGCGTGTGGTGCGTAGTTTCCACTTTTTATTAAACTAATTAACCATAAAATAACTGCAATCCTGCAAAATTTAGTACTTTGCAAAGTGGAGAAGTGGGACTGGTTCACAGGAACCTGTATGGCATTTTTCCATGAATTCTTGTGGAGGCAGTTCTTGTATCTTTTCGCTTTAATAGTTTTCTACGAAATAATTTATATGTTGATTAACAAATAAAAACACACATACGCTTTATTTGATCATAGGAAATGTTCAGACGAGAGACTTATCGTCAAACGTCAATGTCAGTCCTTTTGCCATCGCTCAAATTTTAGTCGCATTAAAATTTTTCATCACAACTTCAGCAAAAACAAAACTGAATTTCAGCAGAAAAATGGCTTTGAATTCTTTTGTTGTCGCTGCCACTAATTTGACTTACAAAGGCAATCTTGGGCCTTCCACTGGAGCCCTTTGTTTGAGACACTTCTTCTGATTTTTGCTGTCAGCTAAAGTTTAGCTGTTTTTTGCACGTCAAATTAAATGAAATGATCGACAACTTTTCACGTTTGCAGGTATTTTTGTACACTTCAGCCTTATTATTTCTTAAAATGAATTGCATTATAAAAAATGTTCAAATGTTCAATGTCATTGGTAATTTCACTAGACGTCCGCAGGCAGGTATCCTTCAACGCATTTGATGCTTTTTAAGCTGTGCTTCCTGCTTCTTCGACGTTGGCTTTAATTTTGCCACATTTTGAGTCACAGATTATTTTATAAAACAAGACACATTTTTTCCATGGCATAATTTCGCAAATTCTTGAAATTTCGTCCAAAAGAGGATGTGACACAGCAGATCGTTTTTTCATAGGACTTTAATGAAATACAGAAAAACACATTTTAAGATGCTTAAGTAGAAACATTCAGAATATTATAAAAAATAAATAAAAAAACTCATCAATAAGCTTTATTTTTTGTCAAATACTAATCCATCCCCCGTTTCTTCTCTTACAGATTTCCAAATTGCTACCATTGATCGAATCAAGCTGCTCTAATCGCGCACGTTTCCTGCTTTGTTCATCACTTTTTCCACTCTGCACACCAAACGTGCCACGTCCTGTCACAGCCTGCAAATCACTGTGCGAAACAGTAAAATCGGAGTGCGCGACACACGAGGAGCTCATGGAATTATGGCCAGACTTTCTCAACTGCGATACTCTACCACAGCCCGAAAAGCAGGAACTTTGCATGCAAATACCACAAGAAGCAACTAAACAACTGGAACAACGTGCTAGCATACAGCAACTGCAATTACCTACACACAGCATACAACAACAGCAGCAGCAACATCAACAACAACACACCGCTCACTTCTATTGGCCGTGGATGACATGGAAATTACCACCGCATTTGAGCAAAACCACAGTCATCTGCCCGCACAATTTTACCGTGAATCCACTAAACGAAAACGAATGCTTGCCACAATGTAATCGGGATGCTTACCACACCACTGAACAAAAGAAGATTGCTGAGGGTCTAATACTGGGCCTCTCTGCTGTTTGCTTTGTGCTCACGCTATTCTCATTGGTAACGTTTTGGGCTGAGCCTACACGTTTCGGTTATCCAGAACGACCAGCACTATTTCTTTGCTTGTGCTACAATCTCTTCAGTGTTTGCTACTTGGAACGCATAGTTTTTCATAATTCTTCACGTACTCTAGCAGCGCTGGAAGAGCCTCTGGGTCGAATTAGTGCACCATGCACGCTTTCACCTCCGTGCTTAGCGTCATACATCACAACCAGCTATTTAAGTTTATGCGCTGCAACTTGGTGGCTCATATTTGCTATTTGCTTTTATCTTTCTTCACACAAGAAGTGGTCCAGTGAGGCTTTGGAAAAGAAATCTGGTCTATTTCATGTGCTTGCCTGGGTGCCCCCATTAGCACCACCAATTGCTGCTTTACTGATGGAGAACGTGCATCCAAATGAATTGACAGGCATGTGTTCGGCACCTGGCTTTGTTGAAATACCCACTTTAGTGCTGCTCGTGTTGGGTCTCTTCTTCATGTTACGCACCTCACGCTCGTTGAATACACTTCAGCACCAGATGCAGCCAACATTTGGACATCAACGTTTCTCACAAATTCGCAAACGTTTTCTTATTTTTTCGCTGGTATTCCTGCTGCCTACTGCCGCAGGACTTGTTGTGTCATTCTTTGAACGTTACGCGGAAGAAGTACCGTCGTGTTCGACACATGAAGACTGTGCACCGCCACCACATCAAAACGCTTGGCCTACGCTGTTACGCATTTTCTTCCAACTTGCTGGTGGCACTTTAACCGGTATGTGGGTTTGGTCACGCAAGACTTGTGAGTCGTATCGTAGTCGTCTGGTCGCTACGCCAACCTCATCCACTACCAGCAAATCAATCACTTCATTGCCGAAGAAGCACTTGCAAAACAGTGGCAAGTTTGCCGGCGCTACGCTCTACAGTGGCATCAATTTTCACAACGTGCCCGTGTACAACCCGCACCAACCGCACGTGTAGCTGCCTCATCTGTAGTAGCCTGTTCTCAGCAAGCATCGAAATGGGCGAGTGTACATAGCTTGGAATTGTTATCGTTTTAGTTTTAAGATAAGTTAAACTTGCAGGCTCGAATGTTGACTCTTAATGTTTAATGTTTAAATTTAGTTTTTAATTTTAATGTAAATTCTTTAAAAAATATTTAATATTTTAAACGCTGATGTAAATTATACTGTAATTTTATTTAATCAAAGTGTGACGCATTGTAAATTAATGTAAATAAATTTGTTAATTTTTAAGTGATTGAACGATTCAGTTGTCTATATTTAAGGATTTGGCTGATTCGTCTCTGGAAGTCGCGTTAGGTTCCATGAAAATTTCTGTATATTACATTAAATCATTTATATATAAAAATAGCTTTAAAAACATTTGTTTTATTTTTAATTAAGTAAAACACAACGAAACATCTACATTTAGTATTATAATAAATTATTTGTAAATAATTTTATATATTAATTATTATAAATAATTGATACGATATTGTACACAATAAAAAATATTTTGTTAAGTAAATAAAATAAAATAATATGAATAAAACAAAATTGTTTTTACTCGAAGATAAATTAGTACCTAATATTTATAAGGACTCCTTATTATTTCAAATAATTATTTCTCTTCAATTATTCCGTTCCCGTTCTCTCACACTACTTTAGATCAGTTGACAGAGGACGTCAAAATGATCACTCATTATTTAACTCGTACCATTATTAAATAAATAAAATAAAAATAAATAAAATTTATATATGGTATCATGCCCACTGACTTTATGTATCAATAATTATTATATAAACCAATTGGTGGTTCGTTAGTCATCAGGAAAATAGGTAGACCAGGAAAGAAAATAAAGGCAAGTACCTTGTGTGCAGCTTACGTATTGCAGAATGTCAGAGAATGCAACATTAACTATATCTAGCATTTAATTCTTCTGTTAAATCCAAAATAAACAGCAGACCTTTATTTCTGAGAATAATACCTAGTATAGTCAAAAAGCTGCATTAACAAAGCAACAAGAGAATCAAATGCTTCACAGGTTTTAAAGTAGAAGATGTGAACATTTTGGTGTCTATCTGATCTCGGTCTCCTTGACATGTTAAAAAGACTTTACGCTGTTGGTATTTAAAAATCTACTCGAAAAAAAACTTATACAGAAGTTAGACAACCCTTTCATACACATATAGTCCGCCAGCAGTTAAGAAATATTCTGCCTGAGTAACGAAGTTGAATCGTTTCATTTTTAGGTGATACGTACATTCTCCAATCGTCTCTGATTTTAAATGAGAATAATAGCACATATTGTGTGATTTTGTGACTTTACTCTGAAGCAAGAACAGTATTCTAAAATGGGGGCTAAATCAATCGGTAATCAGGAGTTTTTTAAAAAACACTCCGACTATTATTAGGCAAGTCATCATGACCTGTATTTCTATCTTAACAAGATGAACTTTTTTAAAGGAGGTAGAATGTCAGCTCTGCTTTGAGGCTAAGAAGACCTGTATTCGCATTCTTTGTCTGTCGTTAGGATATCCTCAACTACTGATATCTCGGCCTCCATTCGAAGTGTAGACTGCATTCTCTTCAATTAGAGTCGGTTAACAGCACTAATTGCATTGTTCAGCGCCATTGGGAGGGAGGTATTTGAGGAAATTGTTTTATAAATTGGGTTTTGCAATCTTACTTCGACTATTTAATCATTGCAGTGTGTTTCAGACTGTAGTGATGGCCATTCTCTACGCCGCAAAGTAGATCATGTGCAAAGAGATCTTTAAGGTAAATGTCATAATTTTCTTGGCAGCCAATCTACCATCAAATCTTAGGTAAGAGTTACAGCTACATCATTAATAGATAGAGAATGCCCGACTTCTTAACTAGCTAGCCATGCGTGTCAGTGTTCAACTCGCATGGGTATCTGGAACGTGTCAAGGCAGACACTCTGCTTTCTGCCACACATTTCTTAAATATTGATATTCCACTTAGTATAACTAAAATAAACGGAACACATGAAAGTTCTTGTCAGATCTGAAGATCTACTTGATTCTAACAGTACAGTCAGCAGCTTTAACTAAAACAGAACTAGCTTAGCACTATGGTATTGGCACTAGCAAATGTCTGCGTATTGGAAAGAAATGCCTTGAGACCTGGTCTGTCATATATTAACTTTTCTTATCGGCTCATCTACAGAATTTCCATCCTGTAAAGTTGGGAACTTGGCGAAGTTGACAGACTTGTCAGGTTGGTTTATTTTCAGCGTTGCTTGGACGCTGAATAATGTGATCTGTTTTTGGGGTCCTTCTAACATTGTTCTGTATGAATAATGCTAATATGTGATACCGCAACGGGCCATTATTTGAGCTCAAGTGGGCTTTGAACTCAAGTGATCAAAGGCGTATAATAAACATTGTATTCTTTGACAATAAAAAATTCTAGGAAGTAAGGTAGAAGTCATAACTACCACAATACAGTTTAAAGCTTTTTCCTCATACTCCACCATTTTTATCTTCGAAAAAATAGAACAAAATGTACAACTCATCTTTAAAACAGGTGGGCAATCTTCTTTATTTAATAGCCAAAGGCTAACGTGAATCAAGTGCGAACAAAGATCATTGAGCAATTACAGACCTGCAACTCATGTCATCATCGCCGGCAGGCTTTTTGCTCAACCACTGCCTTCTGCGATTAGTACGCATTTCATAGGAATCTCAGGCAAAAACTAGCGATGGCCTTAGAGCCTCCATTGCAATTGCCGGCATAATGACACTTTGCCATTTCGCAATAAAACTCGTTGCTGCACACCGCAGTCACCGGCAGAAAAAGCGGTAGCAGCCACAAATTTATTAACATTTCAATTGTGCCGCATTGAACACGAAGTGCATTTAAAAAAATTGACGTGGAAAAAACTGCGGGAAATTGCCTGCATAAAATAAAATAAAGGCGTACGAGTAGTAAAAAATTAATGTTTTATTTGTTTTCAACTTTGTTTTTCTGCGGTGGCTCAAATGTAACTGACTGTCTGCCCCAAGCCCAATCCACTGTTGCGACGGCCACAAAACTGATTAAATGCTTTTCCTGCCTTTACTCCAAATTATGCCAATTTTAATTTTTTACAAGATTATTTACACGAATACCTGTTGGTGGTATCTTACCTTAATTATAAATAAATACTCTTTTCAACTAATCACCATATTCTGATTTCACTAAGAATTTTATTTTGTGGGACTCCCAAACTTTTCACAACGTTTCGAACTATAATGAAATTATTCTCTTTATTTAGAAAAAGATTTTAATTCAGAGACTAGCTTAAATTTGTATTCAGATATTGTACACTGATGAGTCCAAAACTCCAAATAATCGATTTCAAATAACTGTTATAGAAGGAATATCCACTTACAATTCTCACACGGACATTCACGCTTTGAGCTGCATCCACCTCAGAGTAAACTACGCAGAGGTAATTTAATCAGATTACTGATATATGTATATGTAATCTTCTTACTAGTAGCAGTAGTCTGGGAATACTTGGAGGTTAACAAAATCATACCCAGACAGAAGTGTATATCTTTAAATTAAACACCAGGCTACTAAGGCCGTGAGAACAATGAAAGCATGGATTAGCTAGCCAAAAGAATAGCAGGCAATTTTTTCTTAGACCTCGAACTATTTTGCAGAGTCAACAATAATTTCATAACCAGCTTAATTCCCGAAAAAGAGAAAAAGCTCGCTACTGACATCTAAAATGCTAATCGTCTCTTAACGAATTACCATAAGGTGGAAACTGTTGTAAGTCGCAGCAAAACAAACCAAAATTTATGTTGAACTAAGGATGGGATGGACCTAAATAACATATAAAAAAATTCAAATGATGAAATGATCACCATCTAGATAATTTCTGTAGCCGAGTATCAGAAAACAATGAAACCTATATTGTGCACATACCCTGGTGCGGCTAGTCACAAAACCAATTATCTGCCAATTATAATGTATCAAATTTACGTCGCATTATCTGAACTGATTATAACTGCAAGACTCATACTTCTCCGAAGAAGGATATTCGTATAGAACAAGTCATCTTCTTCTTCGTCTACTATTGCCAAATAGAGTTGAAATCCAATAGAACTAAATCTAGAAATTATTCAACCTATACAACCAATTTTACATAGTTCAGAATCAATCTGGTTTATTATTTTAAACTTTGATTAGATTTTTAATTAAAATGATTATTACCACTACTTTTAAAAGTCTGAAGTAAGAGGGAGCGTAGGATTTAATTATTTTATTTGACCATATGTGTGAGCGAGGTGGTACCCCTTTATTCAGAAAAACTCATGGAATCTCTAAGAATTAATATATCAGGATATCAAGCATTGGGAAGATTTATTGACGAGTCTTTGCTTAGGTTATGCTTTGGATAGTTATACTTAAATATTATATTTCATATTGATTAATTGCTGTCACAGTTGTGAGGAAGACGAAGAAAGTGCCTCACATCTGCTTTGTTACTTTGTAACATATGAGCATCGATGATTAATCAAACTTTTTAGAGGATCTAACCAGCTTTAAGATATTTCTTTGCAGAACATGTCAGATTTTGGTAACAATTTAAAGTGGTTCTTAAAACCCCGAGTTTTATACTGTAGCACACTGAGCAAATAGTCCTAATTGATTCTCTATAACCGGTATAACCCAACCTTAACTAAAGAGAAAAGGTGTGGTTTAAAGACTTCATATAAAGTATTTTTAACTCGATTGTAACTAAGATAGTTTGATTAATTATTGTTATATGTTGTAGCTATGTACAATGTAATTTTCTCAAGTAATCTAATAAGTACTCACTACCTCATTTATGTAAACTTGTGGCTTTCACTTTTTGGAAAGATTATGGAAAATATACCAAAATCTATCCCATTCTACGAATTTCAATCATTTTATAGGCTTTTATATATAGCTTTTATTATTATAGTATAGGTAGGCTTTTATAAATAATCTAAAATTGTCCTAGTTGGGCGTTTAGGCGCACAATAGATCTTTTAGGTCGGGGTGCTTTAATAGTCTATTACTTAAATAATAATAACAGGTAGGCTTTAATATCACCTAAACTTTTTTAAATATAATAAATACTAATAATAATATTGGCTTAAAAATTTTTACTCATATCGCTTGGGAACCAC